TTATTTTGTGTGTAAATGGGAATAAACTTAAAAAAAACAGCCATTATTTTCTTTCTTTTATTGATGTAGTCAACACAGCCCCAGAAACCGAGCCCACTCAGGAAGTAGTATATCCATTCAATTCTGATTAATTTAAATTCACAAGCACCTGCCCATCTATGTGGGTGTTATGAAAACAGTTGTCACGCCTTCAATAGGACTTTTAGAGGAAGATACTCAAGTGTGATGATACCCAAACTGTGATGAGTAGGAAACACAGCAACAACATTTACAGTGATGGGATAAAAGCATTTGTGAGACCTTCCCTTTGTAACAGGAATGGTTCATTCAAATTGACTCTCAAACTCTCTCAAGTGTTTTCTCTCTGCAGCACATGACATTGCTAAGAGCCACAGTAACGCTGATCTTGCTGAGTGCCCTTCACTGCAGGGGTCAACAGCAACATTGTTACAGCCTGTACAGCACCACCTTCTACAGAATAAACAAGAACACACTCAACCAGCCATGCTGCCGGAGGATGCTGAGAAGCACAGTGCCCACTGCTCTGTCACCTGCTCTGACACACGGCTCAGTTCTTGTTTGTGAAGGGCTGTAAGGTTTGCTCATAGGTCCTACTGTAGTTAAACCTGCAGCTCACACAAAAACAGGGACAGTGGCAAATACAGAAACAGTGTCAATAACTAATTATGCCTTTGATATAACCATGGAAGGGTCAGACACCTGGCAAATTGAAAATTACTGTTGATAAGTGCAGAGATAGTAGGAACATCACTGTACACATGACACAGGTGATAGTTTGCTGCAGGAAACTGCACAAAAAGGGAATCTGGGTTTATATAGATTTGTCTCTCTCCTCATTAAGACAACATGGGGAAGCAATAAAAAAGCAAAAAAAATTCTTCGTTGCATTGCAAAGGGTGTAGAAATTAAATCCAGGAAAACTATGCATCTAGAAAATTGCAGCTTCAGCTTTTCTCACCATACCACAGAAAAATGGTGACATCCTTAGAACGAATTCCAAGAAGAGCTCCTGAACAAGAATGGATTGTGGAAATTAGGAGAGATACATCTCTTCAGTCTTAAACATGGAGATTAAAAGATTTAATCAGGGGACCTGCTATCTTAACAGGTGTTGATAGGGTAGATCAAAAAACGACTCAGCACCAAAAGAAAGACATGAGGCCACAACTGAAAATGAGCAATTCATTGTAGGGTTAATGCCTGAAACCCACTTGCTCTTTGACAAAAATGTCTCCCCTTGTATCTTGCACCTGTATATTTCTGTTACACCACAGCTCCTGTTATGCTGAAATTCAAATTAAAAAAAAACTATCTAATAGTGCCCCCTGCTGTCCAGATGCTACAAACACTGAAGGGAATCTGCCTCCAAAGAAAAGGGTTTGAGCTTTCAGGTCATTTGAAGCAGACGTGCAGGCTAGATCCTAGGAATTACCCAGGAACCCTCTGATGTTTTAAGAGTAAAATCAAAGCTGCAGAAAAACCACTTGCAGGTCACTGACAGGAAAGATAGAGCACTAGCTGGAGACAGATCAGTAACGCAAGAGAGCTGTAGAGGGCTGCTCTGGACATTGATGAGCAGAGAGCAGAGACCACAGAGAATACAGGCTAATCAGTCTCCAGGCCTAGTGAGTCCCTTGTGCTGTGCTGGACCCTGACAGCCAGATCATAGAACACGGGTTGGAGAAAGATCAACAGGGCTTCAAGGCTGAAAAGTCCCCTGGGCTGCATTGCACACTGACAGCCACAGACTGCAGAGAGCACAGAGCCCAGGCTGGAGACAGACTGCTGGAGAACCAGGGCTGTAGAATCCCCTAGGCTGCTCTGGACATTGATGAGCAGAGAACAGAGACCACAGAGAACAGGGCGTAGAGCACAGGCTGGAGGCTAATCAGTCTCCAGGCCTAGAGAGTCCCTTGTGCTGTTGGATCCTGACAGCCAGATCATAGAACACGGGTTGGAGAAAGATCAACAGGGCTCCAAGGCTGAAAAGTCCCCTGGGCTGCATTGCACACTGACAGAGAGCACAGAGCCCAGGCTGGAGACAGAGTGCTGGAGAACCAAGGCTGTAGAATCCTCTAGTCTGCTCTGGACATTGATAAGCAGAGAGCACAGATCAGTAGACAATGAGGGCTGCAGTTCCCTGGGCTGACCCGGACACTGGCAGGCAGAGGGGAGCATAGAATAAGGTGGAAACAGATCAGTAAAGTGCAAGGGCTGACATGGACACTGTCAATGTGTTTCGTGTCTGTCCTTGGCAGTGCATCACACCTCGCTGTATTAAGCTTGTCAGGGCTCTGGGTGTGGCATGGTAGTGGGGGGGCTGTCCTTCACCTTCAGCTGGAGCACACACCTCTTCACCATCGCCAGTGGTAAGATCTTTTCACACAGCATTACAAACCCACACAACGACATGTTCTGGAGACAGCTTCAAGCTAAATTGGAGAAGCACCTTGACTTAACCATGTTTTGATCACAAACCGCACATTTTAAGGGGGGCAGTCAAAGGCATAAAAGATCATTCTGCTTCAAAACTCCATTCAGTGCTTGGAAAAATATAAATTCCCTCCAATGATGCCCCATGTTCTTGAATGATAAAATATTAAATACTCATTTTTAAGGGAATAGTTTTAAACATAACTTGAATGTCCAAACTGAACACATTTATGGAGGGAAGAAATGAAATGTCAGCAAAAACTACCATTGATTGATTGCTAATTATTCACCTCCGGGTCAGTACTCAGTGGAAGCACATTTGGCAACAATTCTAGCTGCAAGTCTCTACCAAACTTGCAAACCAGGATGGGACATCTTTTGTAAATTTTCTCATTCTTTGTTGAACTGAACTCTTCTCCCCTTATCAATGGCCAAAAGATACATTTCCATGCTTTCACTACCTATTTTTAGATATTGTAACTAGGTGCAGTTAGAACGCACATCGTTTCAACCTCTCTCTGAACTGTCCTACCAACAGCTTAGTCTGAGAAGGCAGCTATTCTATATTAATGTCCGAACATTCTGTTTGCCTTTCCACATTTCCTCGAAGGTAAAAATGATGTGTCTACATCGAGTACATAAGTATTTCTTGCAAGCAGACTCTTCAAGCCTCAGTACCTGTACTGTATTACCTGGAATTGCTACTGCCTGCAATATAAGAAGATTTTATGGAGAACTGAAATCTAAAATGTAAAATACACTACTCTGTGTGCATTCATTACATTTATTGTTGACAGGTAGGTTAGTGAAGACTTTTAGTCTAAATCTGAGGGCTGAGGAGCTCTGGGACCACAGCTAGACACTCATAGCGCTTGTGTGTCTCTGGGATAGATGGGGCCAGTGATTTGTGAGCAAGTCCCATTAATACGGCAGTAAAATGCATTATTTATCGTCCTTTAATTTGTTTTCATGCTTGTAGAAGTTTCAGAACTCATTAGAGCAACTTTTTGAAAGGGCATTAGTCACTGCAGCGACGGCCCGGGGGAGGCTGTGAGTCAGAGAGATGCTCGCTGTGGGTGTGGTGGGAGACGTAGAGCCTGTCAGAGCAGAAGAGACCTTTTCTGAACCGGCAGCCTCCCCTGAGCTTCTGGGCTGCTGCTAACAGAGCTTCTGGGAGGCTCTGCTGTGATTTACACCAGTTTAAAATAGATTATGCTGAGCGCGTTCCGTCAGCCTTGTAAATCTTTATTTCGTGTTGAAACATCCTCCCCGGAGCCCCGGTCTTGTTAAACGCTGTTGGAATAACACAAGAGGAGGTTGCTCTTGAACTTGTTGCAGGCTAATAAAGTTTGTTTAGTGTTGTGCACCCTAAGCTCTGCATGTCTCTGACAAAAAGTTACTGTACATGAAGTGACAGTCTTCCATTTGAACATGAATGAATTCACTTCAGAGGGGTTCTGGCCCAATTTCAACAGGTGCCCTATGCTGAAAGGACTATGCTGTTTAGTTCAGGGCGCTGGAGACATAGACTATATCAGCTTACTTGGACTTGCCCTTTGTCCAAAGCCTCAGCAGCATTCTTATCGTCTTCTGCTTGACAGTTTTCCTCTCAGCCTACAGCGACATCGCCCTGAGCAACCTTCTGGGAAAAGTGAGTATACGCCACACTGTCCAATCACTCATCCTATTTGTGTCTGTGTATCTTTGTGTCTGTGTATCACTGTGTACTTTTATGGGCCTGTGTCTCTGTGTGTGTGTCCCTGTGTCCTGTTCTGAGGATGTGTCTCTGTTTCCCCTTGTCCTGTTATGAGTCTGTGTGTCTCTGTTTCTCTGTGTCCCTGTGTCCTGTTCTGAGAATGTGAGTCTCTGTGCCCCTGAGTATTGTTCTGGGACTGTGCATCTCTGTGTCCCTGTGTCCTGTTCTGAGCCTTTGTGTCCCTGTGTTTCTGTGTCCCTGTATCCTCTTCTGGTTCAGTGTGTCTCTGTGCCTGTGCACGAGGCTGCCCTCTGTAACAGAGTCTGCCCATGGTGTGCTGGGTTTCAGTGCCTGCAGTTGGGGTGCCACCCTGACGACGACACTGATGCTCCTACCACCTCCCTCTGGTTCATGTCTCATCCCCAGAGCAGACCCTGCGCACACCTAGCCACTGGACCACCAGCGACACCAACAGCACTGAAGTGTAGAGACTTAGACCCAGAACAGCACATTGAGGCACTCAGCCAAGAGCTCCTGGGGGGTTTCAGTACAATGCTTGCTCAGAAGCTTGTGTACTGCAGCTGCTGAGCCAGCGTTGGTGTCACGCTGGATTAAAGTGTTTGCCTCATGATTAAATGGAATACAATCATTTATTTGGAAACTTTATTACTCTTTCTTTAGCACTTCAGCTGAATTTTAAGCAAAAAGATGACTAGATGACTCTTCAGACGTGTTTCTCCTTTATGAGTTCACAGCTGTTGGAATTAACAATTAGGCCGGAAATGACACAAACTTGCCATGTTTGTCACATGTTCTATTGAGAAAGGAAACATGGGCACTCAAAATCAGGAAAGGAACGGATATTATAATTATTTAATGCTCTAAACTCAACAATTAGTAAAGCCTGTCTCAGCTATTACACCATTTACATAGAAGAATATTTCCATGAATAATTCAACTGGGTTGTGAGAGTCTGGAAAAAGCTATACAGCAGTGTTGTTAAAACTGATATCCTGGTTTCTTCCAAGGAATGGCTGGATTAGATCTCTAGATCAATAAGCTAAATATGAAATGGGCTAGACCATCAAATGGCCCTATCCTTGCTTGCATTCATCAGGAACTGTCTATAACAATGACTTCTTCTATTCTTAGATCCTGCAATCTAAAAAAGCAAATACCAGCTCAGCAAAGAACATCAATTATTAGAAGATAGCATATTATAACGGAAAAGAAAAAAAAATTAAGCAATTATTGTCATGAACCAATGGTAAGATTGAATGGTTTTATTTTAATTAAAATTCATATAAACACGACACCTTTTCAATTTGTTCTTCTTCTTTAAAATTGATCTTGATTTGTTAAATTACCACAATTTCTCTTCACCTATTTTTTCTTTAAGCAAACATTTTTTTCTCCAAAGATGCGTCCTTGTTTTTATGTCTATGAGGTTCTCCGTGATTCTGTGTGCGTTTCTCTTTGTCTATCTGTGCCTGTCTTCTTCAATTCTGTATAAGTTACATAATTTATGTAAGAACAAGTATGCAGTTGTTCAGAATCCATCCCAATAAGACGAATCTCTCTTGCAACAGACAGATCAATGATCAGTCTGGTAACTGAAGCAACAAGACGCTAAAGGCACTGAGATAAGATATGAAGGGGGAGCAGGAATCCCCAACATGGTTCCTGTAGGACCCCAAATCAGTTATTCTTTGGGGTCACCTGCTTCTAAATATTGGAAAAAACCTATAAACTATTGATCTGATTGAAGACTGAAGGGCTGACAGACATCATTGTCTAAATTAAATATTTTTATTAAAATACGTCTGCAGAATTGGTCTCAAAAGGCTTGCCGAGTCTTTGGAAATTGGTGATGGTTTGAAAAGCCTACAGAACTGAGGACCTGTGGAACTCCAGCTCTGAAACAACCAAGGTCTTTCACAGGAAAGTGCCCTGTGAAAGTGGAAGTGTGGGTCAGAGGCTACTCAGTCTGAAGACACAGCAGCGCACATACCGTAGACCTTGTCTAACCCCCTGGAAGTACCATCCATGACATTGAGCTGACTTTGAACCATACAATACATCACAATAATAAGGTTAAAAAAGATACATTCATGTCAATCAGAAAACATAAAGACACACATACATATATTTTTTAAATGCATATTCTGATGCTAATAAAATTAAATATCTGCCATCCTGGATAAGACAATCAAATAATGAACATAGAAAGTGGGTGTAAAGCCTCGATTTCTGAGTGTTGGTTTGGGGTGAATTGCTTGTGTAGGGACGTTACTGACCAGGACCCAGATAAATGATAAACTCAGCCCACCTGAATCAGTACTCTGGTCACCAGTGCCCTTCCTGTCCAGCATTGAAGATGCATGTGAGTCGTATACTGCCGACTGAGCAGCCCTGTCCAGAGTGCTGGAGTAAGAGCTGAGAGTGAGCTGCAATGTACTGTAAGAACTGGTTTAACTGGGTTTTAAGTCTGTGAATGAACGTTAAAAAGAACCAGACTGTGTCCATCTGTAAACATGCCAATACTTTAAAATGAGAAAAGCCTGCAGATTAAGCCCCAAATGAAATCAAACACGTGCCTCACCTGCCAGTCTAAAAAACTGTAAAATTCCACTGAGTGATGGTCACATGACTCCCAGCACAGCTTGAGATGGAATGGTTCCTCATTTTTAATTTTCCATGTAACTGAAAGTAATTAACACATTAATTATTAAACCTTTGCCAAGGCAAACATTGGCATTTGAAGACTGAGCACCAGTGTGAATGATGAACACTGTCACTATTACTGAAGTGTATATCAGACTTAGTTCAGTCTGACAGAGTCACTAGGAACCCAAAATACAAAGGCAATTTTCTTAATATTCATAATATTTATTTGCATCTTTTTTAGTGTTTCATCTCCTGTGAGTAGAACTGTGCATATTTCATGACCCGTTTCTTTAAACAGGAATTTGATGTGCAAGGCTCACTGCACGACCCCTAATCATGAATCATTTACTACCCTGGAGCCTGATCTCCTCAGATCTCAGAAGCTGAGCTAGGCTGAGACTGGTCAATACTTGGATGGGGATCTCCAAATAATAATCAGGATGATATTGTAAGTGGCATTGTCAGACCAGTAAGGGCACTGTTCTGTATTGCTATGATGACCAGGGACATAGCGCGTAAGAATATGGGTGTGAAGCCTGGTGTCCTGGCAAAACTCTTGATCTGGATTCATCCAGTCTGGCCTATCAAAAGTTCTCCTTTCATTCTCACTTCTCCACTTGACCTGCTCTGTAGTGTGGTTGCTGATGCAGAACATCATAACAGTTACAAACAAGAGGAGGCCATTTGCCCGATCTAGCCCATTGGGTAGTTAGCATTGGATGATCGCACGATCCAGCCATTTCTTGAAAGAAACCAGGATATCAGCTTCACAGCTCCGTCGATTAACATCTCTGACAAAACACACTGACATTTAAACAAAAGACCCACCTGCTAGTAAAGAGGCTAGTGAATCACCTTTGATTTATTTGGCAATGTGGCGAAGTAAACACTCGAACCCTCCTGTTAAAAAATAGGTACATAATGATACAATCATGCCTATAATAACAGTGCAGTATTTTGCACACGATAGCACTAGAACTCTTCAGAGCAGGACAGCGAATGTCTGGAGAGGATGCTGTGCTCATCTGTCCTCCCTATAAGAGTTTAAGGGGATGCCTCTGTGCTCCTCTCTGATCATCCCAGACAACCAGGTGAGAATCTTGGTCATCTTGGGCAGTCTCAGCCAGTCCAGCAAAGCTTTCTGTCCCTCAGTGTAGTCTGTTTCTTGAAGCAACTCATCACCTGCGCCAGTACTGCAACAAAAAAGTAATGCAGTGCCATCAGTCACCTCCAGGGGGAGGATGAGACAGCCTTCCCCCACACATTTGGGAACAGGTAAGTTATTGGGGTTTGAATGAGTAAGGATCTTGATAATTCTGGATTCTGGACATTTGCCTTTGCTGCTTAAAACCATTGAGTCTCAGTTTTTTTTATATTGTACAATGCTGTCCAGATCAGAAATATACACACAAATATTGCCATGATTTCTGACTCTGTTGATGTCATTTTATATATCATGTGTACTTCATACAGTACATGGCCTGCTATTGTAGAGGAAAGTGGAAATTCCACCCCCAAGAAACCAAATATTCTCATATCAAAGATGTGGGGAACACTTATTGAAAAATGCAGTATTTTAAATTATAATTGTTTTTTGGAGTTTGGCCAGAACAAACGCTTAATGAAAAATCAGTTAAAACTGACTATAATTTTCTATTTTCCAAACTGCGAATTATTGCATTGAAACCAAGCAAGATTACAATCTAATAGTAATTGGCAGAATACGGATTGCTCTTAAAGGGCCAGAAGTCTAGCTATACTGAGAGGCATTAAAAATACAATAAATGGCATTGGGTCCAATGGATTGTATTTGGATGTCACTCAGTAAACACTGTCAGGTCAAAATGAATTAATATCACATAAGAAATAGGAACAAGAAACACATAACTGAGTAATTACTGTGTAAATTCAAATTCAAACGTAAGCATAGGCTGAAAGCATTTGGGGTTTTAATGTTTAAATATTCAGAGATCAACCAACAGTAAAAGCAAACCAACAATATGTATACTTACTGCTAAGTCATCATAAATGTATTCTCTTCAACAGTTAAAGACAAGGAAACAGCCTGCCTACATGTTTCTGCAGTTTCACAACAGGAATAAATGTTTGTGAAGGCGTCTTTTTGGCTTTTCACAGAAATGGTGAAAATGACGTGCGTTTAACCCAGGGATGTAAACCCAGGATGACCTGCTCACAAATATTATTACAGTTAACACACCTGTCACCACAAGGGCTTCTGCAGCTAAAATGGTTTATTTTCTGTTTACTTTTCAGCTTGAAATTTCTACTTAGCAGCTACTCATCTGAAAACTGGCCACTGGGGTTTGGTTGAGCTCTGCAGCACATAAGCTGGGTGGACATCTGCAGTCTGTGAGCAGGTCAGGCCAAGGGGAGAAGAGTAGCAGCAGGGAAAAGCATCTGTTATCAGCTTGAGGCAGAGTATTGAATAGCACATTTTCACAATCCCAGTTCCTTTGTACCTGTCTGAATGCTTCAATTAATATGCTATAGTGAAAGACGCTGGGCACCTCTAATGGCATTTTGAACAACATGTGTGGAAAGGTGACACTATGAAAAGAAAACTCAACAGACAGACAAATGGTGAGAAGATGATTCCCTGATAAGCACTGTACTAGCAATTAGTGTGTTCACGCTACTCAAGAACAAGCAACTTTAAATTTGATACATTTCTATCTTCTGGAAAAGCCTTACATTTTAATTATGTTCCTGTGTTAATTAACAGATGCTAATGGATAACCGATAGCACCCCCTAATAACAGACACTGGCAGGACCATCCAATGATGCTTCTGGATTTCAAGACTGGCGGCTGGGCGGAAGCTTTCGTTTTGCCTAGATCAAAGTTATTAACGCAGAAATACACAGCAGTACCCACGCAGACCCTCGGGTACATGCAGGCCCACACAGAGATGCAGACAGTGGAACACAACTGCAGGAGAGAGACGCAGAGTGCTGACCTGGGCGAATTTGTGGATCTGTTCCACCACGGCAGCAAACAGCGCCCCCACACTCTCGTCTATTAGGCTCTGCATGTAGTGCACCGCCTCCTCATCGGACAGGTCCAGTCGGAACTTATCCTGCACCTGTGTAAGGCCAAAAGCACAAATCAGTTAGATTAGCTCATTTCTCATTCATATCCTCCAATAACATAGATCACTCACCATTGGCATCTGCCAATAAAACCACCCCTCACCCCAATTCAAACAGTTGCAAATTTGTATTATAAAACCCATCCATGAATGTGGGTGGGATTGTGGGAGTTGGAAACATGCTACCCAGCCATGACGTTAATATCTTGGCTTCTTTCAAGAAACAGCATGATGAGATCCTTGGATCAATCAGCAACTAATGACAAAAATGAGTATAAGGGCTTATTGGCCTCCTCACTTTTGGAACCGTTCTTATGATCTTAAAACAGGAGAGTTTCTTGCCAGCTCACCTTTTTAACAGTCTTGTCGGGCTCGAGGGCGATGTCAGGGATGTTGGCGTCCACCATGAGAGAGAAGAGATTGAGGATGAGATTGGAGTACCTGAGAGACACAGGGGAGGGAATCGAGCTCAATCACACCTGGACACCACCTCTGACTCATACGGAGTCTGACTATAAGGCCAGTATTGTCAGGGCGGTGTGTGTGAAGCAGTGTCTGTGACCTTCTGTGTGCATTTACTGTAGAGGTACGGTAGAGTTTGCTGTAAGACAGCTCCTTCCTTGTCAGCAGATGGCTGTGTGTGTACCTGCGCAGGTGCAGGAAGGCAGTGTAGCACTGTTTCCTGAACTCCTGGTACTGCTCACTCTGCATGCCACCCATCCCTTCCACCATCTCCTTACTCAGCTTCATGGGGGGCGGTAGCGGCTTGGGGTCCCGTCCCAGGATGTATCCGAAATCAATGTGGAACAGCTTGCCTGAATATTAAGAAAACAAAACAAAAACACAGAAAGAGAGAGAGATTAGGTGGGTCATGATCTTTGTTCTCCAGAACTGATAAACTCTTCCTCACAAATTGGTTCTGTACTACTCTAATTACTGACTTTGTTCCTCTGAACAGTGAGACAGCATCTGTCAAACATAATTCCTAAGCAATAAACAAACTCAACTCTGTCCCTCTACACTCAATATAGCATCAACATGCATTCAGGTTTGACAGTTTGTATAGAGGACTGTCAGTGAGTACACAAGTGTGATGATGTACAGGTCTGTCAGTGTGAGGACAGGTATGAACATGTGTGCAGGTCTTTCAGTAACTATCATTGATCAACTATCAGTAACTATCACAGGTCTGTCTGTGTGGGGATAGGTGTGTCAGTGATTATATAGGTCTGTCAGTGTGAGGAGGTTGTCTACGAATGTACTAGTGTGATGCTGTGTGAAGACGATCATGGACAAACCTGTCTTGGTGAGCAGTAGGTTGTCAAGATGCCTGTCTCCCACTCCTAGGATGTAGGTGATTACACAATATCCAGCTGTAGGACAAAGTGGATTAGCAGGAGAGTTTGAGACAGAGCAGTTCAAATATCAAATACATACCTAATATATTATGTATGTCCTCATATAATAATATAAAAATACTGATGCCTTGTATTTATATAGCTGTTTAAAACCCAAAGGATCTCAAAAAACATTACTTATACCAGGGGACCCACTATCCAGTACTGAAGTGCAGACCCACTTGGGCAAAATACAGCAGCTCCACCTGGACAAAACACAGCAGCAATTCTGCACCAGCAGTCCTACCTGAGCAACAGACAAAGGTCATTCTTCACCAGTAGCCGCACCGCACAGAAGATTATGGGGAGGAGTGATAAACTGTTCAACTAAAGGGGAACTTTACAAAGACCAGATTGAATAAACCCAGAGCAGAATTCCACTAGGACACCACTGTTACCACTCCACTCTTTCAAAAAGTGTGATGGGATCTTTAATGACCAAGTAGTCTGGACCTTGGCTCATCAAAGCAACTGTACCTCCTACAGCACACTGGTCCTGGTCATCATACTGGGGGCTTTGTTTTAGAAAGTTTAGTCCAGATTCTGGACAGAGCACCACCTGTGAGTCCAAAAACATAATTTACAGGAGCGACCAATTTTTCCTTAGCGGATCCCTATCCAGGCCCAGTGTTCAGGTGAGACCAGGTTACAGGGTGGCAACACTGTGCTTGGGCACCAGCAAGGCTCACAACAGAGATGGGACAAGAGACACTTCTGACTTCAAGAATAGATGTTGACAAGCTCAGTCATGCTATACTGAGGCACAGATAAAACACCAGAGACACATTAACAGGGGAAACAGTGGCTCAGCTGTACAGGTGGGGACAATGTGAATACTGGTCTCTCTGCACGTGCACAAATGTGTCGTTGAGAACAGAGGTGATAAATAACATGCCTCTGGGCCCAGGCTGTGGCAGGCTGGTCTCAAGAGGGATAAAGAGGAGGGATGTGTGAGTGCAGGCTCACTAGGGAGACTCACCACAGCTCTTGACGTAAGTGTCCATGACCTCTGCACTGATTCCATATGGCCCCTTGTCACTAGGAGCATGCTTCCGGAAGAAATTCTGCAGAGATCAGAGGGGGGACGAGAGACAGGCTGTGACTGGTTAGACTGGAGGCATTAGAAAATGATTAAACTGGTAGAAGATGTATTAACATGAGGGCTGGCAGGTTAGGCAGGAGCAGAGAGTGGAAGACTGTAGGTAACAGCAGGGGTCAGCAAGCAGTGAGGAAAAGCAGGAACTGACAAAGAGCCATACAGATAGTTTGTAACTGTACCTGTATGCTTCCTTCAGTAGCCAGGACCTCAGCAACAGGGACTGACTGAATAAACTGCATGAACCCTGGGAACAGGAGCAAAAACACCAACTCACAAAGAGGAAACAGCACCAATCGAATACTGTGCAATTCTCTGGATGAGAAACTGAACTTAGATCAGTCAAGCCCAAAACAACCCTGACATCCTGATGCTCTTCTCTTGAAACAGACATTGGAAGCACTGGCTACTTATAGTCTCCGTTTATCTCGGGAGCCTTTAGTTCTAAAGGTAATTCCCAATAAAAACCCACAGTGACCAAAGGGAGGTACTCTTCTCATGTTAAACTATGTTTGCAGCACTGTTCCTAAAAGCATGCATGCTGTAAGAGGATTAAGTTTAATTTTCCAGAAATTCATAAACGTCTCTGGAGGGTCACAGGCTGGGAATATCAATTTAAAGGAGCACATATGAAAGGTTACAAATGAGTAGCAACCATTTGGCCCATCTAGCCCATTTGATACACTTAGTATCTATGGTTCCTTCAGAGAAGACAGGGTATAGACTTCAACAATATGGCTTCAGCTGTAGACTAGGAGCTAAATCAAAGGGTGGTCCTGGACTGCAAGTCTGATAACACTTTGAACCGCATGGTGTGTCACGGGTCTCACCATGTTTGGTGCTGGTGGCTAGGACCTTGTATGGTGTCAGCTTCAAGTCCAGATTCTCCTTCCTCAGCAGCTAGAAGAGAGAAGGGTGAGGTTGAGGACTACAATTTGATTTGCTTTGATTATTTTATTGCACCTTTATTGCAAACTATACTGTTCAGTGCCATAGATGTGAACATGAAAACCTTAAAGGAGGAAAGGGAATCAGTGAAAACTACCCAGGACAGGAGGAACATGCTACGCAGAGCAGTTTTAGTTAGCAAAGGAACAGGTAATAGGTTTATTCCATGCTGAAAAGAGAAGAAAGAAAACACAAGGTTTCGGCCATGGAGCCTTCTTCAGGTGTCAGAAGTTTTAGTTAGGAAAGTGCTGCCGATCTTAACTTCAGAGAGATTTATTTGCAGAGAAAATGCAGTTTCTACACTTTTCCCGAGTGAAACTCAAGAACCCAAGCCCATAATGGAGAATAATCTGGCCAAAAAGCTAAATGTAAATATTTTTATTAAAGATCTGTGCAGAGAGCCCCTGGTGCAACATCAGATTTATAACACCCAAGACTAATAAACTGGTTCTTGGCAGTTAAAAAATACACACCCAGTGAAGAGAAATCTCAGTGATTTCTTCCATGAGCTCCAGTAAGATGGCATGACTGACTGTTTAGAAAGCTGCATGAAGGATATTTGGTGTCCTGGAGTCAGAAGTCAACAGCTAACAAGGTCTGTTTTAGTGCTGTCTCTCTGGCTAAACCCTGACTGCAAAGGTTCAAAAAAGCCATTGACATGTAATTGAGCTGCCAATTTTTTGTTCCAGAATTTGTTCAATAAAAGAAACTATAAACTGTAATTGAGACAGTAGTTGAGTATTTGAGGCTTGGTGTGGTTTATGTGTGCTTTTTAAAAAATGAGATGATAACATCAAGTTTTAAACCTACAGGAACAAGGGTAAAGTTCAGCAACTCAGTGATGAGATTAATTAACAGATCAACAATTGGGAAGCTATGAGCTTTGAGCACGGATGAAGGGATGGGGTACAAGATACAAGCAATAGATTTCATTTTAGCTACCAACTCACAAAGGCAGCATCAGCAGCAGTACAAAAATAGCTCAAACACATGAGAGATGGATAAGGTTAGGTTTGCAAATTCAGCAGTTGGGTATTAATATGCACTTTATTGTGGGGGGGGGGAATGCAGAACCTAGATCATTTCTAGAAATTAGAAGAGTTGTGGTCCTAATACTATCCCTGTTGTATTTCACTAATTACATCATCGCAGCTGGAGAATGCCCCCCTTAACTATACTCTCCGCTCCAGCAGCAGGCTCTGTCCTGTCCTGACCTTGTCCATGAGCGAGATGATCTGCAGGATGAGCTGGTCCTGACGCAGGTCGTCGCCATGTTTGAAGATGACGGGATAGCGACCCCCGTCTTCCGTTTTGAAAATCAGCTTGGCTGGCATCAAGGCGCTCTGAGCGTGGACAAGCAGAAAGAGAGTCAGGACAGCCTGGGACTGCCACCGCGACAACACCAGAGAGGAAGCAAATGATTCTCACGAGCACGACACTGCCCGAGACAGGCAGGCCACGGGAAACGGGCTCACTGTTCGTACCTTGAAGAGCGTGGCGGTGTCAGGGATGATGCCCCGGATGCGCACCCCCGGCTCCAAAGGGAGAGGGATGGGTTCAATTTCAGACAAGTTGACCTTCTCATTATCTGCCAGCAGGGCCTGCAGACGCTCCGTCTGGAATACACGACTCTCACTTAGACACAGATTCAATACACAAGCTGGGGTGCAAAAGTAATTATCATTGTGCCACTGGGAAAGTACATCACAATGACTGTGATTTTTACCATGTGTCCTCACTCTTCAACTATGAACCTGTTCCAAGTTGTCAAGATGATTCCTTGCCCAACCATTCCCAGTGTGCAACACCAACCATCCACATGGGCACCGAAGGGCACCATCACGCTCACCTTCTTCTTCCTGTTGCCACTCTCCCTCTGCACGGCTTTCATCAGCTGAACGAGCCGGTCCACAAATGTCTGCTGGGCTGCCAGGAGTGACCGCATCACTCTGACACTCTTATCACCCTGAGAGAGAAGAGGCAAGTGGGTCAGGCAGACGGAGAAGAGGAAGGCAAGAGCACCAGAGAGGGACAGAGAAAGAAAAGCATGAGTGTGCTGTGATGGTATTACTGTAATGTCTGGGGTTCAGTCTGAGCTGCAGACACGTCTGCACAGAGAGACAGGGACCAAGGAGAGACAGACCTTGAGAAGTGCCTGGCTGAAGCGCCTCATGACGTTGATGTACATTTCGTGGGTCTTGGGGTCCCTCTGCTGAGTGTCCTGGTCCTCACACTCCACAATTACATACCTGTGGACACAGACAGTTAGCATATTGCAGCCTACCCAGAATGCAATTTCATGCAAACTGGTTCACACAGCTCTCCTGATGCCACCTGATACTGCTGCCCTCACCAACACACACACACACTTCCCTGCACTGGAACACCACACAGCACAGTGCACTGCTATCACTATAATACACACACACTACAACATCAGACAGCACAGTGCTCTTCTGTCACTGTAACATCACATAGCACAGTGCGCTGCTGTCACTGAAACACACATTGCAACACCACACAGCAAAGTGCACTGCTGTCACTGTAACACGCACTGCAACACCACACAGCACAGTGCTCTGCTCTCACCAGTACAGGTAGTTGGCCAATGTGGAATTCTTGCAGGCACGGGAGATGAGGAAAGTACACAGATCCTGCTGTAACACACAACGTAATGTTTGTTAGACACTATGCATCAATTAAACACTCTCAGAGTATTAATTACATCATTGTTCCACCTAAAAACAGAAACTGCACGAGTTACTCTACCTCTTCTACAATCAGCTGCTAAATGATATAATCAGATCTTAGACAATAAGAAACAGAAGTAACGCTTGAGTCCTTTAACTCTGTGATACATACAGTGGTGTGAAAAAGTGTTTGCCCCCTTCCTGATTTCTTATTTTTTTGCATGTTTGTCACACTGAAATGTTTCAGGTTTTTATTATTAGGAAAAAAAAAATCCAAACCTACATGGCCCTGTGTGAAAAAGTGATTGCCCCCCCTGTTAAAACATAAATCATCTGTGGTTGATCACATCTTTGGAAAGCGAGTTCAATTGCTCTAGCCAAACCCAGGCCTGATTACTGCCACACCTGTTCTCAATCAAGAAATCACTAAAATAGGACCTGCCTGACAAAGTGAAGTAGACCAAAAGATCCTCAAAAGCTAGACATCATGCTGCGATCCAAACAAATTCAGGAACAAATGAGAAACAGAGTAATTGAGATTTATCAGTCTGGAAAAGGTTATAAAGCCTTAAGCTTTGGGACTCCAGTGAACCACAGTGAGAGCTGTTATCCACAAATGGCGAAAACATGGAACAGTGGTGAACCTTCCCAGAAGTGGCCGGCCGACCAAAATTACCCAAGAGCGCAGCGACGACTCATCCAAGAGGTCACAAAAAACCCCACAACAACATCCAAAGAACTGCAGGCTTCACTTGCCTCAGTTAAGGTCAGTGTTCATGACTCCACCATAAGAAAGAGACTGGGCAAAAATGGCCTGCATGGCAGAGTTCCAAGACAAAAACCACTGCGGAGCAAAAAGAACATAAAGGCTCGTCTCAGTTTTGCCAGAAAACATCTTGATGATCCCCAAGACTTTTCGGAAAATACTCTGTGGACTGCCGAGACAAAAGTTGAACTTTTTGGAAGGTGTGTGTCCCATTACATCTGGCGTAAAGTAACACAGCATTTCAGAAAAGGAACATCATACCAACACTAAAATATGGTGGTGGTAGTGTGATGGTCTGGGGCTGTTTTGCTGCTTCAGGACCTGGAAGACTTGCTGTGGTAAATGGAACCATGAATTCTGCCGTCTACCAAAAAATCCTGAAGGAGAATGTCCGGCCATCTGTTCATGACCTCAAGCTGAAGCGCACTTGGGTTCTGCAGCAGGACAATGATCCAAAACACACCAGCAAGTCTACCTCTGAATGGCTTAAGAAAAACAAAATGAAGACTTTGGAGTGGCCTAGTCAAAGTCCTGACTTGAATCTGATTGAGATGTTGTGGCATGACCTTAAAAAAGCAGTTAAGGTTCGAAAACCCTCCAATGTGGCTGAATTACAACAATTCTGCAAAGATGAGTGGGCCAAAATTCCTCCACAGCGCTGTAAAAGACTCATTGCCAGTTATCGCAAACACTTGATTGCAGTTGTTGCTGCTAAGAGTGGCCCAACCAGTTATTAGGTTTAGGGGTCAATCACTTTTTCACACAGGGCCATGTAGGTTTGGATTTTTTTTTCCCTTAATAATAAAAACCTTCATTTAAAAAATGCATTTTGTGTTTACTTGTGTTATCTTTGTCTAATATTTCAATTTGTTTGATGATCTGAAACATTTCAGTGTGACAAACATGCAAAAAAATAAGAAATCAATTTTTCACACCACTGTATAAGGTCTGCAGTGCAACCAAATGCAACATCAAGAAACAGATTGACAAAAAAATTCAGTATCATTATACAGGGAGGGATGTGAAAATATTATTCTCATTCATTTCGTACATGTACTTCATTTGTTAATGCTTATATCAAGTCTTTCATACCTAATATACAACTTTGATACTGTATTGTCTAAATCTGAGAAAAATAAAAAATCCAGCTTGCTTTCAGTGCTGAGGAGTTCAGACCCGAGATCCCATATCTGCATTTTAAAACATGCATTTCCAGCCCTGTTCCCAGACAGCGCCAATATAGCAGGGTCTGAATACCATCAGATATCCAATTTCTAAAGATATGGAACAACTCTATTAAGTCAAGATTATTTAGAACTAAAATCTAAGTACTCTTCAACCCTCAAGGACCAGCATTCTCTTGAATGTCTTGACTGACTGATCAATAGCTTATAGGTGACCTACAGAGGCTCTCCACGGTTGGAGATCCCAGATTTAGGGTGACCTGCAAGACTCGCTAGATTGGGGCTTTCCGTAACCAGGATTGGAGAACCCCGATTTAGGGTGAGCTATAAAACTCCACAGAATGGGCCTCTCTTGTATCAGGGTTGGAGATCCCAGATTTAGGGTGACCTGTAAGACTCACTGGACTGGGGCTCTCCAGGACCAGGGTTAGAGATCCCTGCATTAGGCCAACACTGGACGCTTAATATCTATGAGATACAGTACATATGGCTGTTTAAACAGTCCCTGTCAAACAGAGACACAGAAGCTGTTGTTGGAAGTCACCCTCACCCTCCTCACCTCCAGACTCTCACTGTCCTGAGCCTCCTTTCCTTTCTGGGTGGGAGCGCTAGTGCCAATGGGGGCAGGACCAGACAGGATCTGAGAGCTGAGAAACAGAAGCCGTGGATAAAGGATCTCCAACATAGAAAAAGACATGAGCCAAGAACTCAGGACGTACAGTATGCAGCCCTGTGCCTGCTACATCTCGAGTAGCAGAAATAAAATACTCAAAAATACTTCTTGAGGTGACAAGTCAGGGAAAGGTGTATGGTGATCCTGCCATACAGCTGGAAGATACTGACAAGTAGCAGAAAAATATTAAAGACACAAAATGAAATAATAAACATGTAGAACTGCATTACCGTGTTCTTGCTTAACATCTTGTTCGGCCTGGCAGATAATTGCCCCATGTCCTATACTCCCCTAGGATCCTCGTCTATTCCATCAACTCTCCTTCCTCTCTCTCCTTCTCTCCGGGCTCACCTTGCACTGGGGACTCTACCCCTCTGCTCCACTCTCTCTCAAATTTAAAGAGCTTTACTGGCATAACTGGTGAATTGCAGCAGTAGCAATTAGTAAACATTTAGAACAGTGACATATGTTTATCACAGAGGATCGCTCACTGTTCCTCAGGCTGTGACAGGAGATCACATAGTGGGCTGCCAGCTGTGTTTCCTTCTCCCTTCCCCAGTAATTTATAGCTTTCTGATTTTGGCAAGTGTGTGAACTCAGGGATTTGACTTGCTATAAGGAAAAAGGGTTCTCAAATCCATGAGTTCTTTTCTGCACTTCCTGCAGTGCATCTGTGTCTCTGCTTCTCCCTCCTGGGAGTGGGAACACAGCTTGCCTCTCCGAGCAGCCAAATCTGCCTGTGTTGTTCAGTTTCTATGTGCAGGTCTCCACCTGGCTCAGGCCAGAGAGCTTCAAACCCAAAAGGCTGAGGGGGCTCTCCTCTGTCTTCAGCTTTTTTCAGCAGATCCTTGTGGTAGTAGGAGTTCTGCTTTTCAGTTGAACCCAATATTATATTATTCTCTTCTGTATATTAATTAGCAATGGTAAGGGTATAATGAGCACAGCCCTATACACATTGTTTGGCATTCCTGACAGCAGCTTGTCTGCTGTCTAATTCCTTCTCAAAAGTGACAAAAGTGATCGTTTTCGTTTTCGATGGAGTTACAATATCAGTGGGGTTGATAATGCAGAGCATTCCTCTCATGGTGTAGAAATCCCTGTGTACCTTCTTCAATGCCCTCACTGCTGGGTCAATATTATCACCTGTTCATATCTCCCAGTGTCCCGCTCTCCTGAGCCCCCATGGTTGATTCTCCTGTTGCCAGGCTTACCTGTCGATGTTTCCTAGTGTCCCACTCTCCTCCAGGCCCCCTTGGCTGTCTTTCCTGCTCCCAGGCTCCAGCCCGCTGAGGATGTCATTGAAGTTCTCGTACTTCAGGGCCTGGACAAGCTGCAGCAGGTACATCAGCAGATCCTGGGAGAAGAAGACCAAGAGATGTAATTTCCAACTCCAAATATAAAATTCAGTAGTTCACCAACATTTTTCTTCCTCCCACCTGGCTCCCTATTGCTGCTGGGATCCGATTCAAAACTCTGAAATATAATAGTTTGTAAATATTTCTAAAAATATCAGGCAATTAAATCTGGATACCAGAAAGCATCACCCCTGCCACACAACTGGTTTATTTCTGATGATCCCAGGAGAGCTCAGGAGACTTTCTGCTTACTGCCACTTGCAAAGGTTGTAGATATATATAGAGACACACTCATTCGCTCGCATGCTTGTTGGCTGAGACTTGAACCTCGACAGCCTGGCCCCACCCCTGACCTCGTCGTCAGCCTGCTGCAGCCGGGCCACAGCGTATCTGCGGACAGTCGGATTGGTGAACTGCGAGGACAGCAGCTCCAGGGAGTCCTCCACATCCATGGGCTTCCACTTGCCCAGCAGCTCCAGAGCCTGCTTGGCTTCCTGAGGCAGTGCCCAATTCACACACTTCAGGAACTTCGTCAGAGCCTGGGGGAAGAGAGCCGAGACGGGATATTAACAAAGAGCGCCAGAGTCCAGAGATTATGTCCACTAAGAGAGAGACAGAGAGAGGACAAGAGTGAGTATATCCACTGAAAGACAGAGAGAAGACAAGAGCAAGTGTGTTCACTGGGAGACAAGGAGAGGACAAGCGTGAGTATGTCCACTGAGAGACAAGGAGAGGACAAGCGTGAGT